ATGAAGTAATTTTTTCTAAACTTATAAACTATTTATAAATCTGGGAAATTTCTTCTGTATTACTAAAATATATTAATTAGTTTGGGTTTCATTTTCACCTTGTAAAGATCCACTACATATTTTTCAGAAGTCTTATAAAAAAAAAAAAAAACGATAAAAAACATTTTTGTCTAAGTTTTGACCTAAAATTATACATGAAAATCGAATAAACCAAGGGAGGTAATTCTTGTTGTCCTTTGAAATAATGTCGCCTCTTTCAAAATTAACGGGGATTTTTTGTTATTTTTGATTTGGAGATGTTAAAATTTACAAGGCATTCCATACCCCAAGTAAACAACTGATTGAAGATCATTTTCAAGGGCAGCTGCCAGCTTTACTTTGTCATATCTATCACATTTACTATTAAGAAAGGAGTAGATAGTTGTGTCATCAGCATAAATACCTAATGTTTTTTAATCTTCTTAAATTGAAAATAATTGAATAAAGAACTCTGAAAGTTAAACAAACTGCTTTCATATCTCTTCAGTCTGAAAGAAGTCGTTGCCTAGAAATTTGGGAGACCAGTGGCTGAAGAAATCAGTAATTTGGCCAGGCATGGCATGGCTGCTTCGCCCTAGATTTAATACAGTATGTTAGCTTGGTATAAGTATCTCCAGTATCTGGATAAACGCTAACTCTATCAGATAGCTCAAGCTAGTATTTAAGACCCAGGAGATATTTTTTGGTTAGGGTTGGTTGGGTTTAATAACATTTCAACCTTGATGGGTGATTTAATGTCTCTAAGTCTCACAGGACAAAACAAAAAAAAACAAAAAAAAAGAATCATCAAAAATGTAGACACGACCAGGTTTTCATTTTGTGTCAGATTTGCATTAGTCAAAAGGTTGACATTAGTTGGATTATATCCGAGATTAAAAATATCTAGCTGGATTGTTGCACCTTTTTTTTGTGGGGAGATGGGGTTTTAGAATGCTACAAGTGATGCCATCATTTTCTTTAAGCCCTGTCATCAGGGCAGAATTTTTTTTTTTTTTTGAGTGGGTGAAAAAGGCCAGAGTTGCAGATAAAGTTTTTTGTTTGTTGCCGTTTTTTTATTTATTTTACACAAACACACACAAAGATACATTTTGTAGCTTTTTTGTTTTTTCTTTTAAAATTCCACCTTATAAAACCCACAACTGAACATTTTTGTTTTTTAAATTGTTCTCCCTGTACAAGGCTCGGGAGCCAGTTGAGTAGAGAGTTACAGGGTATGAAGCACAGTTTATACAGATATATGAAGCCGATAATGATTAACCTTAGACTTGAATAGTTTAGGATTGTAGTGATCAGGGAAGCATCCTCTTGAAAATCAGTTCCATAGAGCAGCAGCTCATAGGAAGAAGCTGCTTGAGTGGGTCTCACATCTCACCAATGAAATACGAAGAGAATGAGGTTGGTTTGCTACAATGTGCGTGGGATAAAGTAGGGAGACATATTTAAGTGAAATTGTTATCTAAACTGAAGAATAAAGTCTTTCACTGGTAACTGTTGATCAATGTGTAGAACCTGTTCTTTGGCATATCAGGTCTGTACTAATTCTTCAACATCTGTCCATACCTCATCTCAGAAGTATAAACCTGTTCTTTACTTCCGTGATTGTCATGAGTAATGTCCTTCAATATCATGGACAAAACATACACATTCAGAAGCAGAAATTAATCATTTCTAAATAAAATAACGTAATGAAAATCTTCCTAGCTTTCAGACATGAAAGTGCCACATTGACATTTTCAACTAAAGAACTCATTTTGTAGAAGAGCCCCTCACATTTATATTAAAAGGAAAAGTTTACTATTTGTCCCTACTTTGAATATTACTGCTACATCTGGTCTGGTGCTCCTGCTATATATTTAGAGATTCTTGATAAAATCCAAAGATGAATCAGTAATGTTATTGCTTCTGACCTGGCATCTTGGCTTCAGTCACTTTTCCACCACCATAATGTAGCTTCCCTGTGTCTTTTCTATAAATACTTGTATGGTAATTGTTCTGATGAACTTTCCTCTATTGTACATTTGGGAACTAGTTAGGACTTCATAGACTTTGAGGTATTATGGTGCTGTAAGAAAGAATGGTAAGTAAGAATGTGTTGTCTTAGTGTAAGGAATATTGTGGTATGTTTGGATCAGTAATCGTGGCTAGCTAAGTTTAACACAAGACAGACTGAAGACCAGCCTTCCCCTATCTCCCCTTGGCCTTGTACCACATTTTTGTATTCTTAAAATATTACTTTTCTCTATTACACCAAGACTTTACAAATTTAATGGCAGTACTAGATTGGTGGCAAGGTCTTGAATTATTTTACAGTTGAAATGGCTAAATGTAACTGTAAACTAACAGTTTCTTCTATCACACTTCTCACTTGTGGAACTCTCTTCTGGTGTCTTGCTTTCCAGTAAAGTTTAATCTTCAAAAATTTAAATGCAATGTCAATCGTTAACTTCCATTTCCTTAATTTTGTTTTTTTATTGTTCTCTCTCTTTAATAATGCTTTCTTTATCTCATATTTTCTAACACTCTGTAACCTCTTCCATTTTAGTGGCTTTATTGCCTTGCTTGTCAAAATATCAAGGGATTATTGAAAAATCCCTTAGTAATAAATGAGCTTAAGTTACTGTAGAAGAGAATGAGATCAACTTAAAAGATCAAAAGAAAAAAAAAAGGTGTGTCTGATTGATTGATTTGTCTTTTACAGTTTATCAACCTCTTGCAGGTTATTTAAAGTCAGAAAATACTTTTAGACTGTAATAATTTTTTGGAGATAATGGTTTACTGATACAAGTCCTACTATTTAACCCATAGCAGGGAGGGAGAACAGGTGGATTCAAACTTTTCCTAAGAGTATTTGCATGTATGTGAATATAATGAACCTGATTGGAATTAGAACTCAGCTCTCCAATTCCAAGCCATTATCCATTACACCAGTCACATATTTAAGCACCTGGCATCCCTAAGTGGTCACCCATCTCGGTACTGATGTTGCTTAACTTCAATGATCATATGAGAACCGGTATTCCAATGTAATATGACCATAAACCTGAGAGAGTGTCTGGGTTTAAAAATTGTGTTCTGAATAATTGGCTTTTTTTTTTTAGGAAGGCAGTCTCCCAATATAGATGGTATCATGGCCAAATTTGCATGACAGTTGTGCTAATTTACGTGAGAATAGTGATGCTTAGTCATCAAAATATAGCTGACCAGCAGCTGTGGATACAGGTATTATGACAGATGACTTCTTAGTGTTGGGTGGTGGGTCAAAAGGGGCTGATGGTATAGAGAGCACTACACAGATTTGCAACTACATCTCAGATTCACAACTGTTAGTCTTGCAATGTCTTTGATTCATGGCGACTCAGATTGCAATTTTGTTATTTTTCTACAGTTACATTTTATATCAAATGGAGACACAGAATACTGTTGAAATCCGAATCCTTACAAGATAAAAATTATCATTATTAGTATATTAATTTTATATTTGACAGCAACAACAAATCTGGTTAACAAACAGGTTTTCTATTTACACTATTTATATTCAGACTATTGTCCTCATCTTTTTTGTTGTTATGACAATGTTTTGGCCATTGTGCCTTCTGGCCTTCCTCAGGTGTATATTGATCCGGGTAACCTACAGGGAATTCTAATTGCACCGTTTATTTAATCTACGGAGGTAGACTCTTCACATTTCACTGCTCATGCCTAGGGATATCAACTAGTTCTTTTTTTTTTTTTATTTAGTACTGTTCTTTTATTGTTCGCTGTTTTCACCAACTGCAAGTACACACTGCACAAGTCAGGGACTGAACTCGCAACCGCTACGTCACAAAATTCACAAACCAACACTTTAATCTACAAGGCATTGTCTCCTGTAGATTATATAAAGAGTTCAGTTCAGAATTCCTTGTAGGTTGACCAGATCAATATACACTTGAGGAAGGCCAGAGAGCACAACAGCCAAAATGTGATAACAATAACAAAAATGAGGACAATAGTTTGAAAATTAATGGTGTAAATAATGATAACTCCTCATCCCAGGAATTCAGACAGAAATTAAACAGGTTTTTTTTTTTCTTTGATTTAATTTTATTGTAAATTGACGTGTGATCACGAAAGTACAGCAGCATTCACAACCACTCTGTAACAATGGTAAAATTGGAAGTAATCAGTTTCTTAAACTAAAAAACGATGTTTTGAAAGTCCCATTTGGAGAGGGGCCCTTTTTGAAGTCAGCCGCTGAATCATCTTGCTGAAGAAAGTCACTGTTCAAATGACATCAGCAAGATTTGGCATGGAAGAAAATCAAGCCAAAAAACCTACATAAACTTATAGCAAAGAAAAATACAACCAAAAAAAGATGTACAAAATAATATAAAAAAATATCAACTTGCGCCTGGCAAGGAATTCGGTTAAAAATAGATTATTGAGAATGTAAACAATTGAGAATTTCAAGACTAAATAAAAAGTGGGATTTCTTTAAGAGGAACATTTTAAAAAGAAATAAAAATTATCTTGATATGTGAAATAAAACCTGAAATAATGACGACTATCCTTTCTAATATGAATTTCCGTGGCACAGTTTCAAAGAACAACTGATAAGATTAAAATTTAGACAAGTTTTCTTTCATAAGGTGATTAGTTCTTCCGATTAGCTTGTAGATACTGAAATGGTCTCCAGTTTCCAAATAGAGTTTTCACTGCAGAGGAAGCACAGTTAATTTGAACACCACATAAAAATTTCTATTGCATAATCTACAATGAAATCAAAAATGTCTTGTATTGGCAATTATGGTGTAAAAGAAATAACTTAGTTTTCTTTCTTTTTTTTTTTTTAAAGTTTAGAGTGAAAATGCTATGAAAAAATTTGTCAAGAAAAGCAGAAAAATTTTACCATAGCAAAAAAAAAAAAAAAAAGGAAAAGAAAAAAGTGTGTAGGGGAGTGGGGTGATTTAAAGTCCTAGAGGTCAACAATAACGAACTCCAAGGAGTTGTCGGCCAAAACTATTTTGATTAGATGTGTCCGCAGCCTGGTATTTACCCCAGGCTCCAAATGGTATGATGAGGGCAGTGGTGTTATCTTCAGAACCAAACTGCATTGCCTGGTCTGTCAGCAGATGGGCAGCCTCTTTGGGGATGTCACACTTACTCACAGCATCAATGATTTCTTGATCTGCAAGAACAAATGTGAGTCCATCCGATGCCAGCACTAGAAAAGCATCTTTAGAATGTCGAATCTGGGGGAAAAAAAAAAGAACATTTTTTTTTTTTACTTACATTTTGAAAAGTAAAACAAATTACATTTAGAACCCTTGCAAAAAAAACATTTAATTCAGAAAAAGTAAACAAAAACAAATAAGAATTTAGAAAAGCCCCAAAAAATTAAATTTCAAGAAGAAAAAAAAAATTAATTTGGAGAAAAAAAAGTAAATAAAATAATTATTAATTTAGAAAAAGGGTTCTCTTTACGGTATTAATTTGTTGTATTTTTTTTTTAATCATTCCACCCCAAGAAAGGTGGGAATGCCACTAGTACACGGGTGGTTACAGAGACTGAAGGTGGGTGAAAAGACTGGGTATAAGGGAAACTGAGGAAAGGATAAAAGCTGAACAGGGCTCAAGACGACAGAAGATGGCGATTGACATTGCATTTAAATTTTTGAAGATTGTATTTAACAGGGAAGTAAGTAAATGAAAGGGAGTTCCACAGGTGGGGAGTGTGAGAAAAGAAACTGTTGGAGTAGAAGTAGTGGTTACATTTAACTAATTCAACAGTAAAAGGACCTAGATGCCAATCTAGTAGCATGCTTAAACTCACGTAGTCTGGACACCAGGAAAAAAAAATAGCAATAGCCATGAAAATATTTGTAGAAAAGACAGAGGGAAACCATGTCAGCTCAGTGAGAAAGTGACTGAAGTTGAAATACCAAGTCAGGATCAATTACACTGCAGTTCCTTCTTTGGATTTTGTCAAGAACCTTGAGATGAGTAGCAGGAGCACCAGACCAAATATGGCAACAGTATTCAATGCATGGCTGAATGGTAGATTTGTAAATTTACAAGATTGACAAGAAAAACATTCTGGTATGACACAGTGACTAAACTTTCCTTACAGCAGATACAACTGTTGATTCGATGCAGTCGTTCCACTTCAAGTCAGTTGAAAAAGTGAGGCCAAGAAGCTGCAGTGTGATACTTTCCATGAGTCTAACATCAGCCATGCTGATGGCTGGCAGGAAAGTTTCTCTATGGTGGTTGAATGAAAGCAGTTTTGTTTTGAAGGTATTAAAATTTACAAGCCATTTCCTGCTCCAGTTAATCACAGCTTGGAGATCCTTTTTGAGAGCAGTGGCCAGGTTAACTTTATCGGCTCTGATGGATTTACTATTGAGAGAGGAGTAAATCGTAATGCCATCAGCACAAATGCTTACTTGGGGATTGATGACATCAAGAAGATCATTGATGAAGATTATAAACAGCGTAGGACCCAAGATAGAATCTTGGGGGATCCCTGCATTTGTGTGAAAGGATCTGGAAGTGAGCCCATTCAAAGTGACCTTCATTTTATGATTTGATAGAAATGATTGGATTAAATCAAACAGCTGTCCAGTAATACCATAGTCCTACAGCTTACATTGAAGACCAGCATACCAAACCCTGTCAAATGCCTTTGAGATATTTAGAGCCACAACTCAAGCTTCATCGTTATTATCAAGAGCTTGATATACATATTCAGTGATGGCTGTAAGCACATCAGCAGTAGACCTGGCAAAATGGAAGCCATATTGTTTGTCAGAGAGTAGATCATGAGAAGCAAGATGCTTAAGCACTTCAGAATTGAATAAAGCCTTGAATATTTTGCCAAAAAGTGGTATGAGACTAAAGGAGTCAGAAGGTTCTCCAGAGTTGTTAAAAACAAGAACTACAGTGGAGGACTTCCAACAAGCTGGAAAACAGGAAGCAGCAAATCAATAGTTGTAGAGTTTAGAGAGGACTAGAGCCAGCTCAGAGTCACATTTTTTTAAGATGATGACTGGGATCCCGGCACCTTCACTTGCTTTATGGGAATTTGGTTTGGTTTGTTGCGTTTTACGGCATATCAACCTCAATAGGCTATTTAATGCCGACAATTTTTCTTTTTTTTTCCTGGTAATATTTTGTTTTGTCAAAAATCTATTTCTGGCAATATTTTTTCCTCAAAAATGTATTGTTGGTAATTTTTTTTTTATTTTAATTTTTCAAAAATGTATTGCTGGTAAGAGTTTTTTTTTCAAAAATATATTGTTGGTAATAATTTTTTACAAAGTATTTCTGGGATTAAAACCTATTTTTACACTTTTATAATGCTTTTTACCTCAGTTTCGTGGTTAACTATTTGCCCATAGCTGGGACCCTAACAGGTGCTACCACCTCAGGTCAGGGCAGACCTGGGAACACCAGCAATTAAGAGGTGGTTCCACACTCCTCAAAATCTCCTGATCAGAGGCCTTGCTGTTGGATGTAGTTTATCATCTTACCCAGGACGTGGATGCAGTTTATTGTCATACCCATGCCTTATGGGAATCTAATTTAGAAATGATGTTTGAAACCAGTGATGGGGTTATGTGTATATCGCTCAGTAGAATCTCTGTCCTATTGGGGTGAAATCAGGTATGGGTACTCCAAAGGAGTTGAGTATTGAATTGGAAAAGAATTTACAAGCAAAGCATTCAATCTTATCTGCTCTATATGTCAGAACTTCCAAATTGATTGAATAGAGGAGGTATTGAGGATTTGCTGTTGTTCACCACACTCTTGCAGAGCCACCAATAATCTCTAGAACCAAACTTTATAAAGATTGTAGTGAGTGTGCCTTGCCCCAGATCAGGCCAGAATATAATTTGCACTCAATATCACATCAGATCATCAGGGGAGCCAGTCACTTTCCCATCACTATAATGTAGCTTCCCTCTGCCTTTTCTATAAATACTTACATGGTATTTGTCCTGATGAGCTTTCTTGTTTGGGACCTCAACTTTACAAATTTAAGTGTAATACTAAACTGGCAACTAGGTCTCATCAATTTACAATTGAAATGGCAAGATGTAACCGTAATTTCTCGCTTGTGGAACTCTCTTCCAGCTTCTTGCTTTCTAATCAACATTGATGTTCAAAAATTTAAGTGCATGGCAATTGTTATCTTTTGTCTTCTTAATTCCTATTCTTTTACATTCAGTGACCTTTTGTGCCTTAGTACCTTCATTGCCTTGCTTGGAGGGAAATGATTAAAAGAAAAAAAAATAGAATGGATCAGCTGAAATAATGTGATACCAATAAAAGTAAGAAAGAATGAATTTAGCTGCATAAACCATTCTTGGATTGCTAAATTATAGAAGTTAAAACAAGATGTTTTATTATTCACATTAGTAGAAACGTGATTCATTATATGAACTTGTGTGGGTTTGGTTTGGTTTGTTTTACGGCATATCAACCTCAATGGGTCATTTAATGCCGACAACTTTTTTTTTTGCAGTAATATTTTTGTTTTGTCAAAAATCTATTTTTGTTAATATTTTTTTCCTCAAAAATGTATAGCTGGTAATATTATTTTTTCAAAAAAAAAAAAATTGCTGGTAATATTTTTTTTTCTTCAAAAATTTAATTCTGGTAATAATTTTTTACAAAGTATTTCTGGGATTAAAACCTATTTTTACACTTTTATAATGCCTTTTACCTCAGTTTCGGGGTTAACTATTTGCCGATAGCTGGCATCCTAGCAGGTGCTACCACCCCAGGTCAGGGCGAACCTGGGAACACTAGCAATTAAGAGGTGGTTCCACGCTCCTCAAAGCCTCGTGATCAGAGGCCTTGCTGTTAGACGTAGTTTATCGCCTTACCCTGGACACGGATGTAGTTTATCATCATACCCAGGACACCCCATTGGTGGTGGTGGTGGTGGTGGGGGGGTCTTACCCCTCTGGAGAGGTGCAGTCGGCGTATTCTACAGGCCCAACTGACAGGGCTAGAACTTGTGTGGGACCTCAACTATTGATACCCATGCTTGTGATCGATAGTAGCGATTTTTCTGGTTGCAACCGTTCATGTATAGATAGATTAGATAATTTGTTGTGTGTCCATGGTTTCTATGTCATAGAGTACAGGAGTTTTTAGCCTGTAGTTTTTGACTGACTGAAATAGAATATTTTTTAATATTACACACAATGAAGACTTAAAACCATTCACTGTTCCACAATGTTTGTTTATTAGAAGGATAAACTGCAATCCAAAACCGAAATAAAACATCAATAATTTCTAAACTTTTTTTTTGACTTTATTTTAGATGCTACACTATGGTAAAATGATCTATTAAATGAAGAATTTCAATTCCTTTAATCCGTTTAATGTCCTTAGACACCATTTCAATAAAGCATTTTTCTAAAGAGAAACCAACAATAGGCTTTTTCTTGTATTTTTCTGAGACAAGCTCTGGTTTTATTATTGGTGGCCATTTTTTATTTTACAAAACTATTCTCTGCTACCTGAGATGTTTAAGCTTTGAAACTGCCCAGCATAGAATGAAGAAGCAAACTAATTTTTCACCCTTCTGAACATATTATTAGAAGCTTTTTTTGAAAAAGATGGGGTCATTTTTAATTAGCAGGTAAGGCAGTAATTCAACAATATTTATTAGCCAAAGAGGAAGAGTTCAATCCTTGAGAGGATTAGCATTAAAAATCTTCATAATAGACACCTGAACAATCATAACTTGCACTTACTTCCTCCTTCCCTCTCCTACATCCATACAACAACCACATTTAGTAACCTTCTACCTTGAGTGGCTTTTGGACCTTCTATTGGGTGAACATTTAGTATAGGAAGAAAAAAAATTACTTACTTCAATACTGTAGAGATCAGGTTGAGCCGTGACTCCATATTTCTTTAATTCAAAATCTCCAATACTTCGAGTCATTGCTAGACGTCCATTAACATTGGAACGACCCAAACTGTTCATAGAAATAAAGCCTCCATATTTTTTAATGCGGGAAGCCTCTTCATCTACCTCTGGATCGTGATCTAAAGTGAGACGTTCAGCTTTTCCCTGACGGCACAATATAGCACAACTATCACCAACATGGCCGATAACCAGTTCCACACTGTTTTTTAGTAGACAGACTGTGGCAGTTGTGCCACAAATAAAATTCTGTGACCCTGAAAAAAAAAAAAAAAAAATACGATACACTAGATACACTATATTTAGCACATAAAATAGGATTACATAGCCTTGTGGGTGATGAAGAAGTGCTTTGGTTTTCAGACTTTTTTCAGATTTTGGAATACAGGTTATTTAATTTTTATATTGCATCTATAAAATGGAGCAGCTTGGGAATGGACCCAAGTATAAATACAATATCCCTTTATATTTCATAACACAGCTTATACATGTATCCTGAAAGTAGTTTTATATAAAACTAGCAGTAGAGCCCGGCGTTGCCCGGGGATGTAACAGTAAGAGATAGATTAAGTATCGACCATCATAAAGACTGAAAAATAAAATTGACAAAGATTATTGTTTAAGATTGACCGACACACATGTCTTAATTTTTTTTTAATTGTTTTTATTTTTGTTTTTTGTTTTTTTTACGAATTGGTCAAACCCAAACTCAAACAAAAACATTGTTTTCAATCGTTATGAGTCTACCGATTGAATAGAATTTTATTATAAACAATTGTCTTGTAAATGGAATTTTTAAAGCATTCTGAATGTAAAAATAAAGAAAAAAGTGTGCAAGACAATAAGAAACACTACCTGCCAAAAAAAAGTGAAGTTTTGTTGAAATCGGTTGAAAAATGTAGGAAATCCGATCCCATATATAAACGAACACAGATACACACACACACAAACAACCTGGGTTTTATAATAAGTATAACTCAATATGAGTTGTCCCCCTTTCATTCAGCAGTGCCTCTTAATTATTTTTGCAAATTGATTTCGTGCAAAAACAATTGTGTTTTTCCAAATTTTGGTGCTGTCAGAACCACCGCAAGGTAATTTTATGTAGTCCTGTGAAGTTTTGTTGAAATCAGTTGAAAAATGTAGGAAATACGATCCCATATATAAACGTAGATACACACGCACACAATCTGCGTTTTATAATAAGTAAGATTTAATAAATTTTGTGTACATAGAGATACAGGTAATGATGCTAGTCATGTAATGATCACATGGATTTTTAAGTGGTGAAATTAAGATTTCATGTAATAATAATGTTTTGTACTTTGTTGTATATGTACAAAAAAACATGATCACTACTTACAAAAAATACACAAATGCAGGATTTTGGCATTTTGAATAACATCTTTACTGAGCACAAAACACCTCATAAATAATCCATGATCGAAGGTGTTGATGTGATAATTGCTAACAAAAAACTGGCTCCAACTTAGGCTACGTAGCTGAGCTGAGGAACCCCTACCCAGTGCAGATGAGGCTACTTACAACAGCTGCACATTACCTGGAATTGACTACGGGCCGACAGCTCAGTGTCACACCTATCTTAAAAGGCAATGAATCAGCTAATAAAAAAAAAAAATATCAGAGTATTTATTTGGGGAAATCATTTTGGACAAGAAATAATGCTGCATTGTAGAACAGACTCCTATGTGGATGCTTCTCCGAACACCACAATCTTAACCTCTTCAAGCTAAGAATCAATTGTCATAACCTTTCCTACATATCCATATAATCCTCAGCCCCTACTTTTGTATTCATATCACACGCACATCATTCAGTAACCCTCTACCTTGACACTTTTCTTTAATTGGGGGGGGGTCATATGTCATGCAAATGAACTGTCTCATTGATTCCAGTCCAGGAATCTGTCAGCTTTTGTTTTCTAGAGGTTCAGCAGGTCCCGACAGACTTGCATTTGGTGTCTTTTCTGCCCTTATACAAGCACCCAGGAGACTCAACTAACTTTGTAATATCCAAGCTTCATTTCCAGTAAGTTGAAGTCAGAATTCATGCTAATGTACATTTCTTTGATCATAATCAATGGATGAGTTGACCAAGGTGCATACCATCCCATGGTTTGACAGGTATCAGGAATGTCTGAAATGCAGCTTGTTACACACAGTGTTGAAACACAATACCTACCTCTTAACTGTGCTCACATCCACTATTTGGTTTCTGTAAATGTTCACCAAACATCATTGAATGTCAATGGCTAGGTGCAATTTTTTTCTGCATGGAGTAATTCAATGACATAGCTCTGCATTGTATGCACTTTTATGTCAGATTCATTTTTGCCAGACTGCTACCCAGCTACTATCAATAAAGATCCAACATTCACACTTGACATTATAGGCCAATAAATTAGGAGGCAATGTTTTCAGAACAACAGGTGTTTGTATGTTTATAAGTTTTAAGCAAATAAAGGTTTGTTCATTTTTATTTTTTTTTTAATCCAACATTATTTCTTATTACTCAAAACTATCTTTGAATTTTTTTCTTTTAGATAAAAAGAGTGAAATTGGTATCAACCGACCTGGTTGGCTAATCAAACTTATTAAAAGAAATGTGCTTCACAGCGGAGACTGAAGTTACATTCATTTTAGCCTAGAAAACCAATTTTAAACAAGCTGTACTTAACTGCTCAGTTACAAGAAGCTATTACAGCAAGGCAAGATTCAATTACCTGATTAAAGAACGGCACGTCTCTCATTGGGACATTTCAAAGTCTGTATCTACTGTGGGCCAATCAAATGTAATGTTTATACTAATAAGAAATAATGTCAGATTAAAAAATGTATTGCTTTAAAAAAAAAAAAATATTAAAATTAACTCATTTATGTTTCGGGTACAAAAATAAAGTTTGCAGATAAAACTTGGGACAAAAGAAATGGTGTGTAAAAAGGACAGTTTTTCTCCTGACCCTGCCATTGATAATGTTTATTGCTTCAAAAAGTTATAGTTTGGAATTTTAATAACAACAAAAATGTTACACACTATTGTTAGATTGTCTACTTACAAGAAAAAATATGTCAACCAACTACAATACAATATTTATTATTTACCATTTTATAAAGAAATATGAAAACAAATTATTTTATTCAAGAATGTCTGAACTATAGAATATTTTAATAAACATGATTTTGTGGACATAATACATTTTCTTCTCAGATTATTTTATACTCTTGTAATCTAGGGAAGGTTACTGAATAGAATAATCACACGAAGGTTGGTAATAAACGATAATACTTGGGACAAGAACAACACAGTAGTGCATTGAAGTAGTAGTCAACTGCTAGAAATGAGTCAAGTGAGTGCCACAATGAATCTTCAACTGCAGGATATCTACCAACTGCCCAATGCGATCATATGTGGCACAAAGCCAAGTTTAATGTGGGGTATCCAGGCCCGTAGGCTCAGCCAAAAATTCCCTATAGATCCTGTATAAAATGGGGTTGAGTCGCTGTTTCCCCGAGACAAGACTTTGCCCTTTGACATAACCTCATCTGGGGATCCTCTCTATCCAGAGGCAGAGTGTTTGACCAGCACAGCTGGAGATGAATCTCCAAGTGCAGACTAACATACAGTATTTACTACTGCATTTATGTGAATAGGGACATACCCATTATTGTCCATAGGTATGCTACAATATCCAAGATAACTTCTTGTTTTTCCATTTATTTTTTATAATCACAATCAAGGATACTTAATATAAATACTCAGTAAAAATTAGACATTCTGTCATTATACATAAAAAAAATCTTGAGGGAGGAAGACACTCAAAATATCCAGTGTTTGTGATCTCTCCTAAAATCTAAAATTAAAAGGTTGTTTAGTTTAGAGGAAAAGATGACCTTTAACCTGTTTTAGTAAATTTATGTGGTAAGAGTAAATTAAAAAAATGTCCGGAGAATGAATTTTTACAAAATTTCTATTTACAGTTACTTCTTGCTATGTTTATTTAAATTTTCTTGTTCACAGACATTTTCATAAATTTATGAATAAAAATATTTTTTCTTATTTAAATCATTATAAAACAGTAAATAATAAATCTTTCTTTATGCATAGTTCATATATTTTTGTAAATTTGTAAAGCATTACTGTTGGTTAACATAATTTTGTAATCTTGTAAATAAAGAATGTAACAATTAAATAGTGTATAACATTTTTGTTTAGGCAGAAAATTTTTGTCATTATTAAAATTTTCAACATAACTTTTTTTCTAAAACAATAAACATGGCTAAAGGGGGAAAAGTTAGTGGAGTAGAGAGTAATAATGATGTCAAGAGAAAAACTGACCTTTGACACCATTTTTTATTTTATGGGCTCTGAACGTTAAATGACAATGTTTTAACCTTTCTGTCCACAAAAAAATAGTGTCTGAAAGGAACAGTTATTCTGCTGATTGCACAATTACTTTTGACTCCTTCAGCGATGTTTATTTACAAGATTATAAAAATTTATGAACCAAATACAATGTGATATTTATTATTTACCTTTTATAAAAACCTATTTTTGATTTTATTTCAAAATAAATTTAAAAAGAAATTTTTTTTATTCAAAAATATATAAAAAATTGCAAAATTATCAAAATATATAAACCAACAAAATTTAAATAACCATGAAAAAAAAAAGTTTTTTATTCATATTTTTATAAAAACGTCCATGAACTATAAAACAAGAAAATTTGAATAATCTTATATTATCTATTTTGTTTTTTAAAATGCTAAATATTGCTGAGGGAGTCAAATGTGCATACAGTAATAGCAGTGTCAATGAAATAACAGTCATTTTGACACACTGTTTCTTTTTGAGGCAGGGGGACATGAAGGTTAAATATTGCTGAGCTTTGTATTTGTAAACTTTACCTAATTTCATATTCTGAGCACACATTCAATGTTTGTGACAAGAGAATTTATAAAATGTGTTGTAATGGAATGTCTCACCCTCCCTATCACCTACTGTGGACTGAATATATCAGTATATATATATATATATATATATATATATATATATATATATGTGTGTGCACAGGACATACCTGGCAGACTTGCTTTGTCAGTTATTTGGTGATTAGTCTCCAGCTGAGCTGGTGGAACACTCTGCCTTTGGCCAGAGTCTCGTTTGGGATGGTAGACAGCTACCTGACACCGTGTATATGGGGAATTTTTGGCCGAGCTTACAGGCTCAGTTTTGCCCC